TGACAGCACACAAGAATATTTTCGTGAAGGTGTTGTCCAAGTTCTATCAAGTATTATTTTCACGATTTCAAAGTAATATTCGGTACATAGCACGATCAATAGCTACATCACAAGTGAATAAAAAAAGCAAAAGTAGTAAAAAAGCGAGATGTTAGGAAAACAATCATTCGTTATACATTCGCAAACTGTTCATACCAGGTGTTAGATGAAAATATACACAAATCTGGCTTCGTTTTGTTTCATTGACTATTCGTGGAAAGGTTTCAGTCTCTACTACGGTAATAGGCAGAAAATATATAGATATGATCTCTTTCAAAAAAAAGAACCAACCTAATATTTAAACAAAATCCAACACTAAAGGGAAAAATTTCATGCTGATAAACAAATATCGAAGAAACAACATGAGGGCAGAAGGTGCACGTTCCAAGTTAATTTTCATTAATGATTTTTGTCTTACGATACAGTTTGGTGACCATCCTCGCACGTGAGGGAGCATGTGCGCGTTTTTCACCTAAATTCAGTGAAAAGGGTGAGGCAACCAGGCGAATTTAGAATTTGTCTTTTTTTTTTTTCTGGCCTAAGCCCCCAACCTCACAAACACTACAGAGCTGCATGTTTCTAGCCGGATACAAAGTAATTGAGGGCCTTAATCTGTTGCTTTTATGTAACTTAAGGCGCCTTTCAATATAAGCTGTTTTTAACATGCAACTAATCTTGCAATCGGAAACCAGTGTGCCTCGTCTTGTAGGAAAGTATTGCATGGTTGACAAATATAATAAAATCTTTGTAGAAAGAAAGAAAAATACCGGCAGCCAAAGTTACAACTCGTTCAAGTTTCCCTGTAAGCAATAAATGCGGCGTTGTCTTGTAGTTAACTTGTACGAGATATTTAATTTGTACCCAACACGACTCCCGGATGTGCATGGTACATCGGATTATGTTGTGACTCATAGCAAACCATAATTCGCTCTCTATTTTCTTAGAATTATTTTCCTATTATGTATGTTGATTAGAGAGCCTAAACGATTGATTGCGGCTCCGAATGAGAGAGAAGTAATTGTCTGATACTCGACATTTTTTTTATCAAATACTCCCTTTTTGGTTAAACTGTTCAATTGGTTGTATTTTATTCCCGTCAATTCCCTTTATGATTAGAAAGAAGAACTCTAAACTGACTTGAATATCAAGCTTTTTTGGGCAAAAATAGCTTTAGGGGCCGCACGAAACGTTTTCTTTTTGCTGGGAATTAGTTCTTTCAGTTCGGTCAATGAAAGTTGCGGTTTCATGGTTCGCCATCTACTCTTGAAAATAAACCAATGCTGTAAACAAGACGTCAACACGAGAAGAGTGAAATAAAAACGAATCTCTTACGGTGGCCAATATCTGGCACACGAAAGAATATATGATTGATAAAAACACGACTGTGTTCATCAAAATTTAAACAAGAAACACTGTTTAGTAACGCGAAATGTTTCGAAGCTTAAGACGAACGAGAAAGAAAGAAATAGCTCCATTCTAACTTGGCAAGCCGTACATTTTGTATTAATATATATAATGATACGCTGAGAAGGATTGCTAGCCGTTTCTTTTCATACCCAATGTAGTATCTATCAACAACCTCTAACGGAGGAGAGCATTTTTTCAAGCAAGGTCTTCCAATAAGTTCTGAGCAGAATGTATTAAAGAGCCATACAGACTCTTGCGATGAGTTCAAAGTCCAAAAGAGGCAATCTTGTGCTGACTGGGGTGAAAAAGAAGCAGCTATATATTAGAACGAATATATTTAGCATACCGACCCATGAGTTCGTCCAAACATGACCCGCCTAGATTAGCTCAGCTATCCGCGGGCATGTTACAATTGTAATTTTAATTTCATAACAAATAAAATGTATGTATGTATGTAAAATGTATGTATGTATGTATGTAAAAGCTCTTTCTAAAACCTGAGCGTTTTGAGTTAATACTGAAGAAAACACGAAAGCCACTAAGGCTGTTAAATTATCATCAATTTTGTGGGCGTTATCCTAGACGTTTGGGGATTTAAGATTTTGTGGCTTTTAGTTTTAACTAGTTTTGGTTACAAATTGCGTTTTCACGATCCACCCTTAAATGGTTACAGGCCTATTGAATTTATTCTATCCGCAATAACTACTCCCTATATTTTTGAGATCAATCACTTAAAACCTGTAGGCAAATAATAAAATACCACCTCCCGTCTGTGGCTTGCTTGCACCATCATTATACAGTCAATCAGATACCCTTTTATTGAAAATGGAACTAAATTTATACTTTACCTTGAAAAATGAGGTATGGTTAGTCCTTCTGAATGACAAAAGTTCTTGATGCTTGAGTCAGGTTAGGAAATGACCAGATAAATTTTAAAAAAATAGATCGTAGAGAAAAAAATAAGCCTGTTATGAGTGCTGCGATCGCGTCGATCCCTGAACGAATGATAAATTCCACGTCTTAATCAGCGGTCGAAGCGATCGAGATTAACACTGAAAAGAAGTCAGATTTGATGTCCTTTTATACCTTCTAAAAAAAGCTTATTAAAATTAATATATTTAAAATATTCCTATATTGCAAGAAATGAATATCTTTATATTTATAGTTCACTTGGAATGTCATTTTGGAATATTTTTCAAATATTCTTGGTTCGTTTTGACAGGATCTCCTTTCCCTTTTTTATTACTTGTAATTCGTCCAATCAGTTTAATATGCCCAAAGATTCTTTATATTAACAAACACATTCGCCACCATTACGATTTTGAAGGAATAATCCACAAAAAGGGTGACTTGTTGAATGAAAAAAAGTTCAAGAAGCCGAAAGCAAATATCAGAAATCAAAATATTGGCAAACCTTGCGATATTGAAAAACAATGCAAAATACACAAACGTCAACTTAAGTCTGCTGTGATAAATCATTCAAACTACACTTTACTCTCTCTTAACTGTAGACACAAAATGGCCGTCTATA